TCTCAGGTTTCAGGCGCCCGTAGCTGCAGCGGTTATTTTGGGTTTATGTTGCCTCCGGGGGATGTTTCTCGGGGTTATGGCACCCCAAGGCTTTCTCCCTGATGAGGGCGTATCTTTGTCCCCCCTCCTATACTTGTCGCGGGCTTTTTTGCCCCCCCCCAATCTTCTGACTTTTGCATTTGCTGGGTTAATTCGAGAAGCCATTTTCTGGACCACATTCCCGCCCGTCCAGGGCTCTTTGCAGCCGCCTCATCCTCGTCCGTTTAATTTTTCTCATCAAATTCACGTCATCCAACCCCGGGACACCTCAGGTCTATTCCTTCCCCATTCGTTTCCATATACAAAAATAGCACTGGTCCTAAACTGACCCCCGTGGGCCCCGCCGTAACGGCGCCCACGTGATACCTCTTCACATACCAACTCCCCCCCCTTCATATTCCCTTATCCAATGCAGTCCCCCCCTTTTACGTGCGCCTGATCCCCCGCTTCGCACAAAACTCTTGTGGGAAACTGGTCAAAGGCCTTCCTGCATCAGAAAAGCAATCTCCCACCCCCTCTCTCGTTCTTACTTCGTTACCTTGCATAAAAAATCCAGGGGGTTTTGTGATACAAGATTTGCCTTCCAGAACCCATGCTGGGTTTTTTTTTATAACTTGTTTTCCTTTTCCCGGTGTTTCGACCCCTCCCTCCTGTAACTTCTCCATGACTTGCACACAAACAAAATCAAAACAAGCTGTAATTTAGTGCCTCGTTTTTTTTTTCCTTTTTAAATATGGGAATAATTATGTCTTCCATTTCTCAGGTATTTTTCCCCGTTTCAAGGGGTGGTTGAAGATTGTGGTTAGAGGGGATGCACAGCACTCGCTCCTTCTCTAAGGACCCATGGGGAGATATTGTCCGGTCCCATCGCCTTTGAGGTGTCAAGGTCACTTAAGAGCTTCTTCACCTCCTCCTCAGTTGTTTGTATGTCATCCAACACTTGTTGGTATATTCCCTCTTGATGTTCCCTTCTGTGCTGTCTTCCCACAGCCCTTCCTGTCTCTACTGTAAAAACTTCCTTAAATCTCCTGTTCAGCTCCTCACATACCTCCTGATCATTTCTTGTGAGTTCTCCACCTTCTGTCCTTAATCTGATCACCTGGTCTTTGACTGTTGTCTTCCTCCTGATGTGGCTATACAACAGTTTTCGGGTCAGTCTTGATTCTCGATGCTATGTCATTTTCATACTGTCGCTGGCCTCCCTCCTTACCTGTGCGTACTCATTCCTGGCTCTGCGACTGATCTCCCTATTTTTCGTGTGTTCTCTGCCTTCTGTACTTTTTCCATTCTCTATTGCACTTTGTTTTTGCCTCCTTACACCGTCGGGTAAACCAGGGCTCGTTCTGGTCTCCCGTTGTTACTGTTGCCCTTGGGAATAAACCTTTCCACTGCCTCCTTGCATTTTATTGTTACATATTCCATCATTTCATTTACTGGCTTTCCTGCCAGTTCTCTGTCCCACTGGACCTCCCGCAGGAAGTTCTTCAACCCTATGTAGTCCCCTCTTTTATAGTCAGGCTTTTCCCATTCAACTCCTGTTATTCTCTCCACTTGAAGCTCTACTATGTATTCAAAGCACAGAACCACGTGGTCGCTAGCTCCTAGGGGACTCTCATACTTGATGTCCTCAATATCTGAGCTGCCCAGGGTGAACACAAGGTCCAATCTTGCTGATTCATCCTCCCCTCTCACTCTGGTAGTGTCCTTAACATGTTGGTGCATGAGGTTTTCCAGCACCACGTCCAACATCCTGGCTCTCCATGTTTCGGGACCCCCATGTGGCTCCAGGTTTTCCCAGTCAATCTCCCTGTGGTTGAAATCCCCCATAACCAGCAACTTGCTCTGCTGGAGTGAGCTCTTCTTGCCACCCTCAGCAAGTGTGTCCACCATTGCTCTGTTGCTCTCTTCATATTCCTCTCTTGGCCTCCTGCAGTTCTGTGGTGGATTGTACATCACTGCAATGACCACTTTGTGTTCCCCAGACTGAAGTGTACCTGCTATGTAGTCTCTTTCTCCCATCTCATCTATTCCTTCCATTTTCTCGAATTTCCATCTGTTTTTTTACGAGCAGAGCAACCCCACCTCCCCCCCTGCCCCTTCTATCTTTCCTCATGATCTGGTATCCTGGTGGGAAGATTGCATCTGTTATTGTCTCCATGAGTTTTGTTTCTGTAACTGCTATGATGTCTAGGAACTTCTCATTGATTCTTTCTTGCCATTCCTAATGTTTATTCGTTAATTCATCTGCATTTGTGTACCAAACCTTCAACTTCTGTTCTAATACTGTAACTGTGGTGTGGGGGGTGGAAACAGAGGGATCTGTGTGTGATGGTTGGTTTGGATTGTTCAGTTGCCTTGGGGTGTCGTGGCTGGAGTCCTTCTGCAGGTGTTTCTGTTCTGGGGGGTGCGCTTGTCCTTCCATTTGATCCTGGGTTATTCTGCTCTCCTTTTTCATTTCCTCCCATTTCTCCTTTCGTTTTTGAACTCTCTCTTTCATTGTCTTCCTTTCGTCCTGTGTTCTGTCTCGATCGAGGTACACACTCCGGAACTCCTGCTTGCCTCTCAGCCGTGCTTTCTCCTGCAGGATCATGGTTCGGGTTGATTCTGCCTTGAAAATTACTTTGAGAGGCTGATTCCTTTTCTTTGTGAACCACCCAATTATCCGAAAATTTGCCACCTGGGTCATGTCCCCCTCGCCTATCACCTTCATGATATCTTCAATCGCTTTTTTCTCCTCCTGCTTTTTTTCATCATAAGTTTCCCCTTTAGCTTCGTCTAGCCCATAGACAAACACGGATCTTTCCCTTTCCACCTCCCACTGTGACTCCCATTGCATGCTCTGATGTGTTTTAGTTCCTTCCCGTGGAGTGTTCCTTCCTTCAGTCCCTTCCCTAGTTATGGCCCTTATGCTTCTTGGTTTATCCTTTCTGCTCACCTGCTCCTGGCCCCCACAGATATCTGGTAAGGTCCTTGCACATGTCCTAGTTCCTTCGATGTCTTCCAACCTCTCATTCTGTCCTAGTGTGCTCCCTGTCTTTGTTTTGGCCCCATGTGGGTTTGACAGGACCTCTGCATACAGTTTAGTTTCCATGCTTCCTTCAGACCTGTTGTCTGTGTTTGATGTAGCCATTGCCGATGCTACTTCTGTAATATCTTTGTCTCTGTGCTGTTTCAGATGTCTCAGCTCCTCTTCTAATCTCTCTATCTTGATTTCTGCTGCTGTGGCCTGTTGCTTCCACCTTCTGCATTCTGCTGCTAACCTCTCTTCCATCTTCCTTTCCAGCTCATCTAGTCTCCTTCCCCAGTCTTTCCTCCTTTTTTTGAGCTCTACCTCCCATTCCTCCCTCCCAGATTCGTCCTTGGAACCCCTTGTCCTCATCCTGGTTAGGGGGAGGGGAATAGATGGTTAGGAGATGGGATGGATGGTTGTGGGGAGGGGGAGGATGGTTATTGGAGGGGTAGAGATGTTGGGGAGAGGTTAGATGGTTTGGGGAGAGAGGGGATGGATGGTTATGGGGAGGGGAGGATGGTTATTGGAGGGAGGGAGGTATGTTGGGGGTTAGACGGTTTGGGGAGGGTTAGGTGGTTAGGGGGAGGGGTAGGTGGCTAAGGTGAGTGGTTAGGGAAGGGGGAGAGGTGGTTAGGGAGGGGGGTATGTGTTTTGTGTCAAGTGTTTGTCAAGTGTGGAGGGTGTGTGGGGGTGTGTGTGTGTGTGTATGTGCGTGTGTGTGTGCGTGTGTTGTGTGGTGTGTGTGTGTGTGGTGTGTTGTGTGTGTGGTGTGTGTGTGTGGTGTTGTGTGGTGTGTGGTGTGTGGTGTGTGTGTGTGTGTGGGGTATGTGTGGTGTGTGTGTGTGTGGTGTGTGTGTGTGTGGTGTGTGTGGTGTGTGTGGTGTGTGTGTGTGTGTGGTGTGTGTGTGTGTGTGTGTGTGTGTGTGTGGTGTGTGTGTGTGTGTGTGTGTGTGTACTCGCCTAGTTGTGGTTGCGGGGATCAAGTCACAGCTCCTGACCCCGCCTCTTCAACTGGCCGCTACTCAGTCACTCTTCCCGCTCCATGAGCTTTATCATACCTCTTCTTAAAGCTATGTATGGATCCTGCCTCCATTACATCACTACCAAGGCTATTCCACTTCCTGACAGCTCTGTGACTGAAGAAATACTTCCTTACATCCCTGTGGTTCATCTGAGTCTTCAACTTCCAACTGTGACTCCTTGTTGCTGTGTCCCATCTCTGGAACATCCTGTACTCACCTAGTTGAGGTTGCAGGGGTCGAGTCCAAGCTCCTGGCCCCGCCTCTTCACTGGTCGCTACTAGGTCACTCTCCCTGAACTGTGAGCTTTATCATACATCTGCTTAATTAAAGCTATGTATGGATCCCGCCTTCACTACATCGCTTCCCAAACTATTCCACTTCCTGACTACTCTGTGACTGAAAAAATACTTCCTAACTGTGTGTGTGTGTGTGTGTGTGTGTGTTTGTGTGTGTGCTCACGTACTTTCACACGTCTCTTTGCGTCATCAGGAGCTATGCAATGTTGCAAGAATAGCAAAAGAAGAAAATAGGGGTAGTTTTCTCAGAGTAAAGTAGCATGGTAACACCAGCCAACATCTCTCTGATATGAGAGGCACCGGCCTATTTGCAGTGATACTCCCACATACTTCACCTCCACATATTTTTACATAATCTGTAAATCTGTCTTAATTGTTGGTAAGTCTTGTCTGAGAAACGTAATGAGAGAGTTCACACACGTATAATATGATCTCACCCTGACTTGTGGTACATTATGACAATGTTTTCACACATACAATAAGATCTTACTCTGGCTTGTGGGACATCATAACAGAGTTTACACACACACACACAACAAGATCTTACTCGACATCATAACAAAGTTTACACACACACAAGATCTTACTCTGGCTTGTGGGACACTTTGGCAAGGTTTACACATCAAATCTTACTTTGGCTTGTGGTACATTATGACAACGTTTACACACGTATGTGTGGAACGGTATCGCCTTTTTTCTTCTCAGTAAGTACAATAGTTGAGTCTTGGTGTCTGGGGGCGTGATCTCTTCTTTCACTTCAAATATTGAGAGAACATACACCCGAGGCTTCGTACTGGACGAAGAATCTGAACGTCTCAGCATTTTGAAAAATTCTGCAATATAGTAAATTCGGATAAAATAAAGCACCTCTTTAATCGTGATGTTTTGCTATGATTACCATGATTTATTTTCTATAAAATTTGTAATTAACCTGTTTACTGAATTTTGGACTTACTTTTTTTAATGTGTTCTGACGGTTATAACTGAGGGAACTCGTGAGACAAAAATCTATGTTCGTTCTGCTTTAGGAACAAATCTAAAATAAATTCTGGGGGGTAGCATTTCCCACCGTGCATTGGCGGGGATTTTGTGTCATACTGTATGTGTGAGATTTTGTGTTATACTGTATGTATGAGATTTTGTGTCATGCTGTATGTATGAGATTTTGTGTCATACTGTATGTATGAGATTTTGTGTTATACTGTATGTATGAGATTTTGTGTCATACTGTATGTATGAAATTTTGTGTTATACTGTATGTATGAGATTTTGTGTCATACTGTATATATGAGATTTTGTGTCATACTGTATATATGAGATTTTGTGTCATACTGTATATATGAGATTTTGTGTCATACTGTAAATGTGAGATTTTGTGTCATACTGCATATATGAGATTTTGTGTTAAACTGTATGTATGAGATTTTGTGTTATACTGTATATATGAGATTTTGTGTTACTGTATGTATAAGATTTTGTGTCTTGTTGTATGTATGACATTTTGTGTCATACTGTATGTATGAGATTACATTGTGGGGTCCTGATGGTAGGTGCAGCAGATTACATTGTGAGGTCCTGATGGTAGGTCCAGCAGATTACATTGTGAGGTCCTCATGGTAGGTCCAGCAGATTACATTGTGAGGTCCTGATGATAGGTCCAGCAGATTACATTGTGAGGTCCTGATGGTAGGTCCAGCAGATTACATTGTGAGGTCCTGATGGTAGGTCCAGCAGATTACTTTGTGGGGTCCTGATGGTAGGTCCAGCAGATTACATTGTGAGGTCCTGATGATAGGCCCAGCAGATTACATTGTGAGGTCCTGATGATAGGCCCAGCAGATTACATTGTGGGGTCCTGATGGTAGGTCCAGCAGATTACATTGTGGGGTCCTGATGGTAGGTCCAGCAGATTACATTGTGAGGTCCTGATGATAGGCCCAGCAGATTACATTGTGAGGTCCTGATGATAGGCCCAGCAGATTACATTGTGGGGTCCTGATGGTAGGTCCAGCAGATTACATTGTGAGGTCCTGATGATAGGCCCAGCAGATTACATTGTGGGGTCCTGATGGTAGGTCCAGCAGATTACATTGTGGGGTCCTGATGGTAGGTCCAGCAGATTACATTGTGGGGTCCTGATGGTAGGTCCAGCAGACAAACAATAAGATGGGGGGGTCACCTGGGTGCACATCCTGTCCAGCCTTGTGTGCACCTTGTGTGCACCTTGTCTTAGTGCCGGCTATTGTGGTACACATTAAGTGTTCAAAACTGTGGCATAAATTCTAAGTGTCCACTATTCAAGTAGTGAAAGTCTGATAATTTATAAAATATCAAAGTTTAAAAAAAATATTTAACTATGATTTCATTCAATAATTTTTAATGGTGTAATTTTGAAATTATGCTGCCTGGATTTATTGTTCCTTTATGCCTTGATGTTTTTGTTTATCTTGTAATATGGCATGACGCTATGTAGTTCCTTATTGTACAGAATTCTGACAGTTCCTTCAGACCCAGCTATTGTAAAATAGTTCAGGTCTTCCCCCACCCCTCTCTCTTTGTCTGTCTGTCTGTGTCTGTCTGTCTGTGTCTGTCTGTGTCTGTGTCTGTCTGTGTCTGTCTGTGTCTGTCTGTCTGTCGGTCTGTCTGTCTGTCTGTCTGTGTCTGTCTGTCTGTCTGTCTGTCTGTTTCTGTCTGTCTGTGTCTGTCTGTGTCTGTGTCTGTCTGTGTCTGTCTGTCTGTCTGTCTCTCTGTCTGTCTGTCTGTGTCTGTCTGTCTGTGTCTGTCTGTCTGTTTCCATCTGTCTGTGTCTGTCTGTCTGTGTCTGCCTGGTCTGTGCTGTCTGTCTGTCTGTGTCTGTCTGTGTCCGTCTGTCTGTCTGTGTCTGTCTGTCTGTGTCTGTCTGTCTGTTCGTCTGTCTGTGTCCTGTCTGTCTGTGTCTGTCTGTCTGTGTCTGTCTCTGTCTGTCTGTCTGTCTGTCTGTCTGTCTGTCTGTCCTTCTGCTTCCTCTGTCCTGTCTGTCTGTCTGTCTGTCTGTCCTTCTCTCTCTCTCTCTCTCTCTCTCTTCCTCTCTCTCTCTCTTCTCTCTCTCTCTCTCTCTCTCTCTCTCTCTCGTCTGTCTGCTCTGTCTGTCTGTCTCTGTCTGTCTGTCTGCCTCTGTCTGTCTGTCTGTCTGTCTGTCTGTCTGTCTGTCCTGTGTCTGTCCTGTGTCTGTGCTGTGTCTGTGTCTGTCTGTCTGCTCTCTGTCTGTCTGTCTGTCTGTCTCTCTGTCTGTCTGTCTGTCTGTGTCTGTTTGTCTGTCTGTCTGTGTCTGTCTGTCTGTCCTGTCTGTCTGTGTCTGTCTGTCTGTGTCTGTCTGTCTGTGTCAGTCTGTCTGTCTGTCTGTGTCTGTCTGTGTGTGTCAGTCTGTCTGTCTGTCTGTGTCTGTCTGTCTGTCCTGTCTCTGCTTCGTCTGTCTGTCTGTCTTCTCTTCTCTCTACTCTCTCTCTTCCTCTCTCTCTCTCTCTCTCTCCTCTCTCTTCTCTCTCTCTCTCTCTCTCTCTCTCTCTCAGTCTCTGTCTCTGTCTCTCTGTCTCTGTCTGTCTGTGTCTGTCTGTCTGTCCCTGTCTGTTCTGTCTCTCCTGTCTTCTCTGTCTCTCTGTCTGTCTGTCCTGTCTGTCTGTCCTGTCTTCTCTTCCTCTCTTCTCTCTTCGTCTCTCTTCTCTCTCCTCTCTCTCTCCTCTCTTCTCTCTCCTTCTCTCTCTCTCTCTCTCTCTCCTCTCTCTTCACTCACTCTGTCTGTCTGTCTGTCTGTCTGTCTCTGTCTCGTCTGTCTGTCTGTCTGTCCTGTCTGTCTGTCTGTCTCTCTCCTCTCTGTCTGTCTGTCCTGTCTGTATGTCTGTCTGTCTCTCTCTCTCTCTCCTGTCTGTCCTGTCTGTCTGTCTTCGTCTGTTCTCTCTCTCTCGTTCTCTTCCTCTCTCTCTCTCTCTCTCTCTCTCTCACACTCTCTGTCTCTGTCTGTCTCTGTCTGTCTCTCTCTCTCTCTTTTTTTTACACAGGGTTTGACAAGGTTAAGGATCCCTAGCTTTATTGACAAGCTATTTACAGGTTAAGGATTCCTAACTTTATTGGCAAGCTAAGAGCTGTTACCTACATCAGCTCATTTGAAAGCATTTTTATTGTTATGAAACATACAAGTAGGGAACAGGATGAAGTTGGAGCCATCTGTGGACCAGCATTTTCATTTGATCAACTGACTTTATCTCATTGACATCATTATGCTGTACAAATGTTTTCCATACTCGAGTCATCCTGGGTATATAGGATCTCACATAGAGTGATGTTCTGGAGAAGGGTACAGCCAGAGTGAAGTTGCTGCTTTCTGCCCGTCTTGTGGCATGAAAGCTTGTTTCACGCTGTCCTCGAAGTGGATCCAAGTGTGGCACTTTGACAATATTGACCTTGTACATAACAGTAAGGCCACCCACATCCCTCCTGTGTTGAAGGCTCTGCTGAAATGACAGATCTATCCAGGATGGGTCCAGGCGAGAGATGAGACGTCTTGCTCTGTTCTCTACTCTGTCAAGCAGTCGCAGATGAGAGGGGGGGCAGGCAAACCAAGAAAGTGGAGCATACTCAAGGTGTGAGCGTACTTGTGCCTCGTACAGAATCTTGCAACCCCTACTGTCAAGCAGATGCGAGATACGGCGAAGTGCTGTAAGCTTCCTGGCTGCCTTGTTTGCAAGATTTACAACATGGTTCTTCATGGTTAGTTTGGAGTCAGATTTCACCCCAAGGATATCGACTTCTTCTCCAGGTGCCAACACCCCCCCATTCATCCTTACTACTGCACCAGCATTACCATCATGGTGCCTAGAGACGATCATCATTTGCGTTTTCTCAGGTGCAAATGTTACTTGCCATCTATTTCCCCAAGCTGATATAGCTCTCAGCTGGTGATTGATGTAGCTTAGAGCAGCTAGCATTTCTTCTCTTGGATAAGTGAATGTCAGTGTACAGTCGTCTGCATATGCATGTGAACTGGGATGAGATGAAGAAGGTCGTTGAAGTAGACATTCCATAACAATGGTCCCAGCACGCTTCCTTGTGGAACACTTGCCCCAATAGGATGTCTTGCTGATTCTGTTCCATTGAGAACTACACTTAGAGATCTACCATGAAGGTAATCACTGAGGAGACATAGCGTAGAGCCTGCAGTTCCCAGTGCTTGAAGTTTTGCTAAGAGGCCCTGGTGCCACACCCGGTCGAAAGCGCCAGCAATATCCAGTGCTACCACACAGCTGACTTTGGATTCATTCAGTGACTGGTGCCACTTAGTGGAGAGGTTTAACAACAGATCAGCATATTGACGATCACAAAGTAGTGAGTGGTAGTCAAAAAACTCTGTCATTTGTCTTGAGATTATTGTCTCAAGGATCTTACCAGTGATTGACAGAGTGACACTGGTCTGTAGTTGCTGATTTCTGCTCTGCTCTTCTTTTTGTGAACAGGGACTACATTTGCCTCTTTTCACAGAGAGGGTTATTTACACTGTACTAGGCAGTGCTGAAAGAGGTGCTGCTAGCTGGTCTGCACATCTCAGCAATCTTGGGCTCAACTTGTCTGGGCCCACAGCCTTTTCTCCTGCCTTATTGTCACCACTGACAGTTTTGACACAGTTCTTGCAGCTAGCCAAGGAGGGTCCCTTGCTGGATCAGGAACTTGCATTTTGGTAGCAAAGTGTTTAGCAAAGAGGTCCGCCTTCTCTTGACTACTAGTAGAGGTGGTCCCATCCTGTCGATTTAGAGGTGGAATGAGTTCATCAAGCAGATAACCTTGTCTGTCTTTGATCAGGGACCACCAGCTTTTGGAGCCTACCATACCTGATGCTAGCTTTCTTTTAGTGTCCACCTCCCATTCAGCAATGGCCCACTTTTGAACGTCACCCATATGCCTACAGGCTTGCCTGTGCAAGTTCCTGTTATAGGTGGTAGGATGTCTGTCTCTCTGTCTGTCTGTCTGTCTGTCTGTCTGTCTGTCTGTCTCTCTCTCTCTCTCTCTCTCTCTCTCTCTCTCTCTCTCTCTCTCTCTCTCTCTCTCTCTTCTCCTCTCTGTCTGTCTCCTCTCTCACTCTCTCCTCTCTCTCTCTCTCTCTCTCTCTCTCTCTCTCTCTCTCTCTCTCTCTCTCTCTCTCTCTCTCTCTCTCTCTCTCTCTCTCTCTCTCTCTCTCTCTCTCTCCTCTCTCTCTCTCTCTCTCTCTCTCTCTCCTCTCTCTCTCCTCTCTCTCTCTCTCTCTCTCTCCTCTCTCTCTCTCCTCTCTCCTCTCATTAACTCACCTGGTATAAAGTTGATGGAAGGATAGAGTTCAATGTCTGAAGGCAGAACAAAGTAAGTTTTGGCAGCCAGTCTGGCGGTGTTCCTGGCCACGTTGACAGGGTACAAGAGTCCTTGTTGGTAACGGTAAGTGCTCACTGAGCTCAGGTTCACCTGCTGAGAACACTCACTCTTCCTGGTCAGCACTTCCTCTGCCGGCGGTACCTGCACCATACAGTCACAGTGCATTAAGTAATATGATCAGAGATTGTGTGACACTGTGAGGTCAGAAACACATTCTCAGTATGTGGAAACGCTTCTTATTGTAACTCAGAAGTTAATATATAAAAATTACAAATTACCCTCATAATGATAAAGAATTTTCTTATTTCTTACCACTAACTTTGTTTTACCAGGACGCTGGTTCACCCTAACTTTTTTATACCTGACATAATGAGATGATGTGTATTGAGCCTTCACACAACACTTGAATGATGGAAGCAGGTACTGTAGTTGTAGCAGGTACTGTAGTTGTAGCAGGTACTGTAGTTGTAGTAGGTACTGTAGTCGTAACAGGTACCGTAGTTGTAACAGGTACTGTAGTTGTAACAGGTACTGTAGTTGTAGCACGTACTGTAGTTGTAACAGGTACTGAAGTTGTAGAGCGTACTGTAGTTGTAGCAGGTACTGTAGTTGTAACAGGTACTGTAGTTGTAACAGGTACTGTAGTTGTAACAGGTACTGTAGTTGTAGAGCGTACTGTAGTTGTAACAGGTACTGTAGTTGTAACAGGTACTGTAGTTGTAGCACGTACTGTAGTTGTAGCAGGTACTGTAGTTGTAACAGGTATTGTAGTTGTAACAGGTACTGTAGTTGTAACAGGTACTGTAGTTGTAACAGGTACTGCAGTTGTAACAGATACTGTAGTTGTAGAGCGTACTGTAGTTGTAGCAGGTACTGTAGTTGTAACAGGTACTGTAGTTGTAGCACGTACTATAGTTGTAGCAGGTACTGTAGTTGTAACAGGTACTGTAGTTGTAACAGGTACTGTAATTGTAACAGGTGCTGTAGTTGTAGCACGTACTGTAGTTGTAACAGGTACTGTAGTTGTAGCAGGTACTGTAGTTGTAACAGGTACTGTAGTTGTAACAGGTACTGTAGTTGTAGCACGTACTGTAGTTGTAGCAGGTACTGTAGTTGTAACAGGTACTGTAGTTGTAACAGGTACTGTAGTTGTAACAGGTGCTGTAGTTTTAACAGGTACTGTAGTTGTAGCACGTACTGTAGTTGTAACAGGTACTGTAGTTGTAACAGGTACTGTAGTTGTAACAGGTACTGTAGTTGTAGCAGGTACTGTAGTTGTAGAGCGTACTATAGTCGTAGCAGGTACTGTAGTTGTAACAGGTACTGTAGTTGTAACAGGTACTGTAGTTGTAACAGGTACTGTAGTTATAACAGGTACTGTAGTTGTAGCAGGTACTGCAGCTGTAGCAGGTACTGCAGTTGTAGCAGGTACTGCAGTTGTAGCAGGTACTGTTGTTGTAGCAGGTACTTTAGTTGTAGCAGGTATTACAGTTGTAGCAGGTACTATAGTTGTACCAGGTACTGTAGTTGTAGCAGGTACTGGAGTTGTAGCACGTACTGTAGTTGTAGCAGGTACTGCAGTTGTAGAAGGTACTGCAGTTGTGACAGATACTGCAGTTTTAGCATGTACTGTATTTGTAACAGGTACTGTAGTTGTAGCAGGTACTGCAGTTGTAGCAGGTACTGCAGTTGTAGCAGGTACTGTAGTTGTAGCAGGTATTGCAGTTGTAGCAGGTACTGCAGTTGTAGCAGGTACTCTAGTTGTAGCATGTACTGGAGTTGTAGCAGGTACTGCAGTTGTAGAAGGTACTGCAGTTGTGGCAGGTACTGCAGTTGTAGCGGGTACTGCAGTTGTAGCAGGTACTGCAGTTGTAGCAGGTACTGTAGTTGTAGCAAGTACTGCAGTTGTACCAGGTACTGTAGTTGTAGCAGGTACTGGAGTTGTAACACGTACTGTGGTTGTAGCAGGTACTGCAGTTGTAGAAGGTACTGCAGTTGTGACAGGTACTGCAGTTTTAGCAGGTACTGTAGTTGTAGCAGGTACTGTAGTTGTAGCAGGTACTGCAGTTGTAGCAGGTACTTTAGTTGTAGCAGGTACTGGAGTTGTAGCAGGTACTGCTGTTGTAGCAGGTACTGCAGTTGTAGCAGGTACTGGAGTTGTAGCATGTACTTGAGTTGTGGCAGGTACTGCAGTTGTAGCAGGTACTGCAGTTGTAGCAGGTACTGCAGTTGTAGCAGGTACTGTAGTTGTAGCAGATGCTGCAGTTGCAGCAGGTACTGTAGTTGTAGCGGGTACTGCAGTTGTTGCAGGTACTGTATTTGTAGCAGATGCTGCAGTTGTAGTAGGTACTGTAGTTGTCTAGCACCAGGTACTGTAGTTGTCTAGCACCAGGTACTGTAGTTGTAGCAAGTATTGCAGTTGTAGCAGGTACTATAGTTGTCTGGCATCAGGTACTGTAGTTGTAGCAGGTACTGTAGTTGTCTGGCAGCAGGTACTGTAGTTGCCTAATATTTAACTTCATTAAGAGATCTATGGTACACTTTACACTATTCCTTTCATGTACATGGCGATACAGAGGTCTGAGGTTATGAAATACGGAGATATCTTTCTGCTATATCCTGTATTTACTTTCATATAACGTACAGCCATATTTACATCATTAATAGGTGAATGTCAGCATGTATGTAAACGTTATCTTGGTTTATCATACAATGGAGAGTGATGTAATTATTGTCCTAATCTCTTGAGTGAACTATATTATAAGTTTTATTTAAGTCTGCCCTTCCAATACTCTTAAATTTTATAGTAGGCTGTTAATTCTAAAAGAAAACGAATTAAATGTTAATGGACCTAAGAAACAACTGTAATTATAGCCAGAATCTGTGTTAGTAACTGTATTAGCAACAATGACGTGAAATACGAAATACTGTAGCTCGCTACAGAACCCTGTTTTGTAGTAGTAACACACCATTTCAATGGGAATTATTAATTCTTGCTCTGTAGAGGGTTTAACGCGTGGGACAGCACCGCGACCAGAGGAATAACCAGTAAAGCGGATATCTCAAGGTACCAGAAGTAACCATCATGGGGCTTATCAAGGCGCCATACTGACGACTCCATGACATCTTAAATTTATTTCACCTCCCAGGATAGTATCTTTCTGTATCCCCTGTCTCCACAACCTGTAAGACCTTGCTAGGTAACAGAAGCCAGCCTAAACACACGCATTCTGTTGTAACCTCTGTTTGAACATACCTTTTGCAACAATTATGTCAGTATTTGTGTATATGTTGTTTATTATGTTATACAGGTACATTCTCCAAACGCTGCTGAGCACTAGTGAATTCCAGTAAAAATGAGTTAATACTCCTTGTTTTAATTAATTATAAGTTCAACGGCGATATGGGAAATATGTCCAGACCAGGACTGTAGAAGGATATGTCCAGACCAGAGTGAGGGATGGAAGGGAGAGAAGGGAAGAGTTATCAGCGAATACTTGTCATATATACTGTACGTATATATGTTTCTAAAGATCAAGAGGCGCTTGAGTTTCCGTCTCCTAATATCGTGTTTATTTTTCCCCATTTAATCTACCTTCTCCGTAATTACTATCGCATTTGATTTGTCTGTTTCGTAAGGTGAAGTCTAGGAACTTTCCTTAATTCATGGTATAACTTAACAAATCTTTGAGGACAATTGAGGGAAACTGACGTGCCCCTTAAGTTAATACCTAAAACGTGTGCGTTTATCCTGCATATACCATGACTGTGTGTGTGTGTGTGTGTGTGTGTGTGTGTGTGTGTGTGTGTGTGTGTGTCTTTATTACTGACGTGCACAGACTTGACTAAACGACGACGTGTCGTTCTATCGTTCACCATTATTACGTCATCGATCGGAAGTCTAGGACTGACCGAAACATCGTCTAGTTATAACAATATGTGGAGTATACCACCATAATGTGAATTATATTTAGCTGTAACACACCATGGCAGCCCTGATAGTCACCAACATTTAAGACCAACACTTACCTGTGAAGGGAAGTGAGAGACGTCGAAGTAAAGATGGAAAGTGACTAAGTTTGTAATATCTGCGCTGCCACAGTTGCGCAAGTAGACAATAGTGTTGATAGTGTTGTCGAAGTCATCTCCCGGAGCATACACAGCTACACTCACCGGACCCTGAACACAATGTATTACTGATAAATTATTGCAGGCGAGATGATGATTGTCAAGGGCGCTATTGATCTAAGGTACTAAACATGATCGTCATTCTCAAGCACTCTTATGTACACTGCTTACACCTCAGTTAAAACTTTCCGTTGTAACATTTAAGTCACTGCGTGAATCTAATTTAAACTTATTTAAAGAGACTTGTTGCTGAAAAATTTGTAAAATAATAACGAAGTAACATGAAACAATGTTTGTGGTTCATAGTGTGAGGTATAATCTGTGGTACAGTGTGAGGTACAATCTGTGGTACAGTGTGACGTACAGTGTGAGGCACAGTGTGAGGTACAATCTGTGGTACAGTGTGAGGAACAGTGTGAGGCACAGTGTGAGGTACATTGTGAGGTACAGTGTGAGGTGCAGTGTGAGGTACAATCTGTGGTACAGTGTGAGGTACAATCTGTGGTACAGTGTGAGGAACAGTGTGAGGTACAGTGTGAGGTACAATCTGTAGTACAGTGTGAGGAACAGTGTGAGGTACAATCTGTGGTACAGTGTGAGGTACAATCTGTGGTACAGTGTGAGGAAGTGTGAGGCACAGTGTGAGGTACAGTGAGGTACAGTCTGTGGTACAGTGTGAGGTAGTGTGAGATACAGTGTGAGGTACATTGTGAGGTACAGTGTGAGGTGCAGTGTGAGGTACAATCTGTGGAACAGTGTGAGGTACAATCTGTGGTACAGTGTGAGGAACAGTGTGAGGTACAGTGTGAGGTACAATCTGTAGTACAGTGTGAGGAACAGTGTGAGGTACAATCTGTGGTACAGTGTGAGGTACAATCTGTGGTACAGTGTGAGGAAGTGTGAGGCACAGTGTGAGGTACAGTGAGGTACAGTCTGTGGTACAGTGTGAGGTAGTGTGAGATACAGTGTGAGGTACATTGTGAGGTACAGTGTGAGGTACAGTCTGGTACAGTGTGAGATGCAGTGTGAGGTACAGTGTGAGGTACAGTGTGAGGTACAGTGTGAGGTGCATTGTGAGGTACAGTGTGAGGTACATTGTGAGGTACATTGTGAGGCACATTGTGAGGTACATTGTGAGGTACAGTGTGAGGTACAGTGTGAGTTACAGTGTGAGGTGCATTGTGAGGTACAGTGTGAGGTACATTGTGAGGTACAGTGTGAGGTACAGTGTGAGGTACAGTCTGTGGTACAGTGTGAGGTACAGTGTGAGGTACAGTGTGAGATACAGTCTGTGTTACAGTGTGAGGTGCAGTGTGAGGTACAGTGTGGGGTACAGTGTGAGGTACAGTGTGAGGTACAGTGTGAGATACAGTGTGAGGTACAGTGTAAAGTACAGTGTGAGGTACAGTGTGAGGTACGGTGTGAGGTACAGTGTGAGGTACAGTGTGAGGTACAGTGTGAGGTACAGTGTGAAGTACAGTGTGAGGTACAGTGTGAGGTACGGTGTGAGGTACGGTGTGAGGTACAGTGTGAGGTACGGTGTGAGGTACAGTCTGTGGTATAGTGTGAGGTGCAGTGTGAGGTACAGTGTGAGGTACAGTGTGAGGTACGGTGTGAGATACGGTGCGAGGTACAGTGTGAGGTACAGTGAGGTACAGTGTGAGGTACGGTGTGAGGTACAGTGTGAGGTACGGTGTGAGGTACAGTGTGAGGTACGGTGTGAGGTACAGTGTGAGGTACAGTGTGAGGTACAGTATTAGGTACAGTGTAAGGTACAGTGTGAGGTACAGTGTGAGGTACAGTGTAAGGTACAGTGTGAGGTATAGTGTGAGGTACAGTGTAAGGTACAGTGTGAGGTACAGTGTGAGGTACAGTGTAAGGTACAGTGTGAGGTATAGTGTGAGGTACAATGTAAGGTACAGTGTGAGTTACAGTGTGAGGTACAGTGTGAGGTACAGTGTGAAGTATAGTGTGAGGTACAGTGTAAGGTACAGTGTGATGTACAGTGTGAGGTACAGCGTAAGGTACAGTGTAAGGTACAGTGTAAGGTACAAACCTGCCAGCGAGCGGTGAGAGGTACCAGGTTGTTAAGGAAGGTGTAATCAGCATGGGTAGTGTAGGTAATGGTGTTGTTACAAGGGACGGTGTAAGGTACAGTATAAGGTATAGTGTGAGGTACAGTGTAAGGTACATTATGAGGAACAGTGTGAGGTACAGTGTGAGGAACGGTGTGAGGTGCAGTCTGTGGTACAGTGTGAGGTGCAGTGTGAGGTACAGTGTGAGGCACAGTGTGAGGTACGGTGTGAGGTACGGTGCGAGGTACAGTGTGAGGTACAGTGAGGTACAGTGTGAGGTACGGTGTGAGGTACAGTGTGAGGTATGGTGTGAGGTACAGTGTGAGGTACGTTGTGAGGTACAGTGTGAGGTACAGTGTGAGGTACAGTGTAAGGTACAGTGTGAGGTATAGTGTGAGGTACAGTGTAAGGTACAGTGTGAGGTACAGTGTGAGGTACAGTGTGATGTACAGTGTGAGGTACAGTGTAAGGTACATTGTGATGTACACTGTGAGGTACAGTGTAAGGTACATTGTGATGTACACTGTGAGGTACAGGGTAAGGTACAGTGTGATGTACAGTGTGAGGTACAGTGTAAGGTACATTGTGATGTACACTGTGAGGTACAGTGTAAGGTACAGTATGAGGGACAGTGTTACATACAGTGTAAGATACTGTGTGAGGTACAGTATAAGGTACAGTGTAAGGTACAGTGTAAGGTACAGTGTAAGGTACAGTGTAAGGTACAAACCTGCCAGCGAGCGGTGAGAGGTACCAGGTTGTTAAGGAAGGTGTAATCAGCATGGGTAGTGTAGGTAATGGTGTTGTTACAAGGGAAGGTGTAAGGTACAGTATAAGGTATAGTGTGAGGTACAGTGTAAGGTTCATTTGAGGAACAGTGTGAGGTACAGTGTAAGATACAGTGTGAGGTACAGTATGAGGTACAGTATAAGGTACAGTGTAAGGTACAAACCTGCCAGCGAGTGGTGAGAGGCACCAGGTTGTTAAGGAAGGTATAGTCAGCATGGGTAGTATAGGTAATGGTGTTGTTACAAGGGAAGGTGTAAGCAGCAGGCAGGTAGTTCTCCAGTACCCAGTAATGTCCACGCTGGTAACTGCTGGGTCGTACTACAGAGTTGGCACACTCGCTGATGTCACTATACATCTTCTTCAACACCGAGTTCTCTGCTTCATCCTCAATTATTTCATCTTCCTCCCAGTCACATGAAAGTTGTTTCTCCGACAGATTCGTTTGCCTTAAAAATATAAACATGTTAAGAAGTATAATGCATTTTTAGAAACTAATAAACATAACATTAATAGTTATGTAGCCAGTTACATTTGTTAAATTAATTTTTCTTTCTTAAGAATAGTGGAGTAGTGAAAACTTTTATTTAACCACAAATATATAATTAAATATTTTGAAAATTTTCTTCGTTATGGTATTTTGAAGGTGGACATATACAGACAGATCTGTTATATTTAAATACATTTCAAGTGCCTCTTGATGGTGTTCTGTTCCTTTTTAGGGTGTTACGCTGTAATCTAGTTTTCTAGAATGTATTAACTCTAAAGTATCTGGTGCTCTTGAAGGTATTATCTCCAGCTCTTGGACTTGTATGGATTGACTTTTAGTTTCTCTGTTCACTCAGGGTTTTTAATTTCTTTGATGGGTAGAGGTACAGTGGACTGGGGTTATATGATACAAGGAATACCTCTCTTAGTGTAACGACCTAATCAAGTCTAGTGTTACTCATGTGATGACAGCAGATGACTCATGAAATGACTGCAACAAATTATTTACATAATGAATACTGCAGATTACTCACGTTATCACTGCGACAAGAGTAGATTGCTCAACGTATTCATCTCTGAGGAACATGAGCCAAACACATGACGACAGCACAAGGTTCAGTACCAGTGACAATCTTGTCACATTGAACCTCATATTAGAGCTACCTGAAACACACACACATAGCCATGACTACTACGTCTACCTAAAACACACACTACACACCAGTTTCCTAATATGTATACCCTGCAAGGTAATGCAGATTATCGAGCAGTGGTATAATAACTAGCACGGATTCTGAGATGTAAATCTTGTCTTATCAACTTGGAGCTTGTGACAAAGTAACGGATGTAAGACAAGAGAGATATGAATGAAAGGATTGTATTTTTTTAGACTGTAGAAAGTATTTATTATATTATAAGCCACCGGCAAAAACTGAAGTGCATGGAACGACAGTCCGGATGGGACTGAATCGGTTGTATCCTTGTTTGATGAGGATGTAAAATTAATGAGGAGAATAAAAAGATAAGGAAAGGGAAATACCCAAATGAATATGGACAGATTTCAAGATTGATCGTATAAGTAGTTACCTGAATTAAAACCCGGTAAATGTGAATATTGAGGATGGGGCGAGAAGACCGAACACAGTATTCTGTGTTCGGGAACAGAGCACCTAACAACTGTTACCTACTCTATGTATGGTAGATATCCAGAGCGATAGACAAGTGTATCTCAGATCTTAATACCTGGAGTTTACCTGGAGAGAGTTCCGGGGGTAAACGCCCTCGCGGCCCGGTCTGTGACCAGGCCTCCTGGTGGATCAGAGCCTGATCAACCAGGCTGTTACTGCTGGCTGCACGCAAACCAACGTACGAGCCACAGCCCGGCTGGTCAGGTACCGACTTTAGGTGCTTGTCCAGTGCCAGCTTGAAGACTGCCAGGGGTCTGTTGGTAATCCCCCTTATGCATGCTGGGAGGCAGTTGAACAGTCTCGGGCCCCTGACACTTATTGTATGGTCTCTTAACGTGCTAGTGACACCCCTGCTTTTCATTGGGGGGATGTTGCATCGTCTGCCAAGTCTTTTGCTTTCGTAGTGAGTGATTTTCGTGTGCAAGTTCGGTACCAGTCCCTCTAGGATTTTCCAGGTGTATATAATCATGTATCTCTCCCGCCTGTATTCCAGGGAATACAGGCTCAGGAACCTCAAGTGCTCCCAGTAATTGAGGTGTTTTATCTCCGTTATGCGCGCCGTGAAGGTTCTCTGTACATTTTCTAGGTCAGCAATTTCACCTGCCTTGAAAGGTGCTGTTAGCGTGCAGCAATATTCCAGCCTAGATAAAACAAGTGACCTGAAGAGTGTCATCATGGGCTTGGCATCCCTAGTTTTGAAGGTTCTCAAAAAACTCCATAATACATCATACTTCCCACTACCAGTTGATGAACTGGAATGATGCGCTAATTGTTGCCAAGGCAAATGACACCCAGGAAAGATATGCATTAAATTTGCGCTCATGACTATATTTAACACTTTTAACTAGAATAACTGTTTCTACAATTTAGTTGAACGTCTTGCCAGAAAAATAACTTGGCCTCTTGTCAATCAGTTTACCCCTGCTGCACATCCCACTTGTTCATCTCAGTACTACTCACTATTTCTGTGTTCACTTTCTCTTTCTAGATTTATCTGTTTGTGACTTTACTAAGTCTATTGTCTGGGCCAAATGTCGTCAGTAAATGATTACATAAACCTGCATTTGCCTTTTTCATCCAAGTAACTGGAGCTGCCTACTATTTTATGGATCATACTTGATTACCTCCCACTTAACTGGCGCTATACGACCCTTACTGATTCAGCACTTTTCCTAGACTATAATAATCGTTTAATACTTAAGTGTAACCATTATATCAGCAGATTATTAATCCTTATAACAACAGTGAAAGCTTATACGTAATGTTTAATTCCCAAGTACAATAACAGTTGTTGATAATTCCACAATGATTTCAATAGTCAGATGAGCAGATTTACTGCAACGATATTAAAAAAACTTAAGGAATTACATTGAATCAGAAAATATATCACACATGCTCTTAATATGTTCTTAAACTACGCAACGTTTGTATCACTACGCATCATCTTATTCTTTTAACTTCAACCGAAGACTTTTTTTCAGCTACTGTATCAACAGTATTTAAAACTTATAAAACTTATATAGTTAAAGGGAATTGCTGAGGTCGCTCTAAGTCACCTGGAAGTAAACTCTAGACTAACTTTTGTCAGAAGTGATGTCCTTGGCAAGTGTCTTCACACTGATGTTCTCACACTGCCGCCTTTACACTGACGCCTTTGCACTGACGAGTTTACACTGTTCTCACACTGATGTTCTCACACTGCCGCCTTCATACTGACACCCTCACACTGATGCCCTTACACAGACGACCTCACACTGACTTCTTTGCACTGTCGAGTTCATACTATCATCATACTAACAATCTCAAGCTGACGCTCTTGCACTGCTGCCCTCACATTGATGTCCTCACACAGGCAACGACTCACAACTGCCTGAAGGGTAGATGCTGAGCAAGCATACTGACAGTACTCGGCTAACAAATTCTTATTCTATATCTTATCTTATCAAACATGGGCTACACACACACACACACACACACTATTCGTGGGCAGAGAAGGGAACGTTGCTGGATGCACACATGATGGATGCAGTGAGGAAGATAAAAACTCTCCTCCATCTCGGCACAGAGGTTAAGGAGAAGATGAAGGAAGTACTGCAGGTTGACAAGGTAAAAGAGAGAAGGATTATTGCTGCTGATGAAAAGCTACACAACTTGGGAGAAAATCTTTTAAAGCTGAGGACCAAACTTGAAGAGATAAAGGGAAGGGGTGTGAGGGAGAGACGAAACCAAATACAGTAAGTGGGGAGACAGGACGAAGGGCAGAGGGAAGGGGGTTAAGGACTTTAGCGGGAATGTTTTGTTAACCGGGAGGTGACCAACTGTGGCCTCTTGTGAGTTTACAACTATGGCCTCAGTTTACAGTTGTGGCCTCTTGTCAGTTTACAACTGTGGCATCTTGTTGTTCTTGTTATAGACACTAAGAAGTCTTCCTTATCCATCCATATGACCTGTCTTTGTAATACTCATTTGTGCTAAATTGTTATCTGTTTACAATAATGTATTTACCACTGAATATATCATTGCTTAGTTAATCTTAAGTTAATTTTAAGGGTGCTCATAATGCTCTGCATACAAGGGGCTTTGGCATATTGCACTGTAATAACTTTGTATTCACTGTATCATGTTCAAATAAATAAATAAATAAATAAATAAATTCTTTCATGTTATTTTATGGCATTATATGTGATTATTATGTCAACTCTCTTCCCACTCTCAGCATCGTTGCCATCCTCATTGTTAACAACCTTCTATCATAACTCAGATTTTTCACCTCTAGTTGCTATTTTGTGGATCGTTTTACCTTTTCTAAGTTACTCACATTTTTTTTAGGGTAGACGGCACAACACAGTTGCTGCATGTTCCAAATCTGGCCTAAAATGTTGTAAATAATATTTTTAATATTTCTCAGTTCGTATATGTGAAATACGTTTTATAAGTTGTCAGAATAGCTGAGGGGTTTCTTAAAACTTCATATATACGATATTCCGGTGACAAGGTTGTTGTTAATAATAACTCCTAAATCTCTCTCTCTCTGATACTTCAGACTATGATGGCCTTCATCCAAAATAAATATCGAAAACTTGGTATATTTTTTTTTAGGCGCTGCATATATTATGAAGCGGCTGAAGGTTACTAGGGACAGGTTTATTATAGAGCGTGTTGAGGGCTGACATATGGCTCGCCATGGACCTTCACCAAACATTTTTTTCTTCAGATAAGTGGCTTTCAACAGCACGTTTGAGGCCACTTCTTCCCAGGCAATGATGAAAGCTGATTGCTCCATGTCAGAAAACTTCTCTCGCACATAAAAAATAACACATAAACACACATATAACGACCAGCGAAGAGGCGGGGTCAGGAGCTGTGACTCGGCCCCTGCAACCACAAATAGGTGAGTACATCAGCACAGATGGAATAACAAATAAGAGCTAGGAGTGGCACGAACGAATCATGGAGGCATCTCTAGACATTACAGCACTCATGGATAAAGCTTAGAGACACCTAGAGTATACCTGGAAAGGGTTCCGGAGGTCAACGCCCCCGCGGCCCGGTCTGTGACCAGGCCTCGTGGTGAATCAGAGTCTGATCAACCAGGCTGTTACTGTTGGCCGCACACAAACCGACGTACGATGATAGATGCAATATTCCCGATTGGCTATCATACCATGAGGAAAGACCCAGGAAAGAGAGGTTGAGGAGCGGTAGCACTGCTCACCAGAAACTAGTGGAAGGAATGGACAGAGGGAAAGCAGAAAACTACATAGTAAGTACATTGATGACTGGAGACCACAGGATGGAGATAGCAGCGATGTACAACCCTCCCCAAAACAGTAAGAGGCTAAGACTAGAGACTGTTAAGAGTTTGATGAAAGTAACAGAGCAATGGTGGAAACCCTTTAAAAACACTACAAAAACAAAAACACTACAAAAGCACCAAGAAACACAAAAAACACCACAAGAACACTATGAAACATAAAACACCACAAAAATATTATAAAACAACGAAAATAGTACAAAAACTAAAAAACTCAAAAGCTGCAAAAACACTATAAAATCATTAAAAAAATTAAAAATAAAAAACTGTACAAAAACATTATAAGAACATTACAAAACCACTGAAAGCACCATAAAAACTGCAAAGTACTACAAAAACACTACAAAGCAATGCAAAAAAAAAAAAAACAGAAAACAGTACAAAACAATAAAAACGTTAAAAGTACTGCAGAAACACTGGAAAAACATTACAAAACACTGCAAAAACTACAAAAATACTATGAAATAAACAAAAGCTACAGACACTATTAAAACAATATAAAAAATGTAAAAACACCACAAGAACACCGGAAATTAAGAAAAACACTACAATAGATAAAAACATTAAAAACTGGACGAAAATGTAATTATGGTTACACCTCGTGCCAGACTCTTTGGCACGAAACATAAACCGAGAAGGTAAATAATTTAATGTCCAGTGTAATGGGGAACCATCACTTCAGTTTCCTCAGTAAAATATCTGGGAATCCCCTTTGACTCATGCATGACAGGAGGAACAGTGTAGTAAAGAAAGCGAATGCCAGACTGAAGTTCCTCTACAGACAAGCACAGTGTCTACCTACTGAGACTCGCAGGACACTATGTCTAGCCCTTATACAGTGTCGTGTGGACTACACTTGTTCTTCACGTTACTCTGCCTTGACTAAAAAAACTGAAAGATAGATTGCAAGTTATCCAGAACAAAATGATAAGATTCATCCTGGACTTGGGTCCAAGTGAGCATGTAGGCCAGGATGAGCATGTAGGCCAAGTGAATATGTAGGCCAGGATGAATTACAACAATTCGATATTCTGAATGTTGAAGACAGAGTAAAACAACTGAAGTTAAATCAAATTTATAAAATTGCTCACAGTGTCCAGAATATCTTGCTGCCAATTTTGTCAAGGTTGGGAACCAAAGCAATCATAGTACTAAAGGGAGAGAGCACAACTTTGTAGTAGCCACACTCAGTGGCCAGGCTTCAAACACCTTTTATTGTACAACAATAAAGGAATGGAACAGACTGCCTGCACATGTCAAAGCCAGTCATAACATGAACCAGTTCAAGAAGAGTGCCAAAAGGTACCTAATGAATGTAACGACAGAAAGGGAGGAGAATGTTTTTTTTTTTTTTTTTGCTAACATACATGCAAATATAAATAACTCATTTTACCTTATTCCTAGTATATCTCCTTTATAGTATAATAATAAGATATTATCTCCTTTACAGTATAATAATAAGGTATTAAAAGTACCCCAATGGAAATAAGTCACTTTGACTTTTTTTGGGTTATCCCAGGTTCTCTACACATATGCTGTGCCTGGCTGTGTGTGCTGCAACAGTGATCAACACAGCAACATTGACCACCCTGAGGAGTGGAGACAACCACACTAGTAAATGGTTCGACGCATGACATTTAATGTTATACCTGGAGTATACCTGAAGAGGGTTACTCCAGATGTGGAGATGCAGCAGCTGGAGACGTCGTCAGAGGTGGGCGGGGCCCACTTTTAAGGTATTTCCAGGCTATAAGTCCACTAAAGTTTGGTTATTGAAGCAGATAGTAATTGTATTAGGTGGGAGGGTGGTGGGGAGAGTATTTACCTGGAGTTTACCTGGAGAAAGTTCCGGGGGTCAACGCCCTCGCGGCCCGGTCTGTGACCAGGCCTCCTGGTGGATCAGAGCCTGATCAACCAGGCTGTTACTGCTGGCTGCACGCAATCCAACGTACGAGCCACAGCCCGGCTGGTCAGGTACCGACTTTAGGTGCTTGTCCAATGCTTGCTTGAAGACAGCCAGGGGTCTGTTGGTAATCCCCCTTATGTATGCTGGGAGGCAGTTGAACAGTCTCGGGCCCCTGACACTTATTGTATTGTCTCTTAACGTGCTAGTGACACTCCTGCTTTTCATTGGGGGGGGGATGTTGCATCGCCTGCCGAGTCTTGCTTTCGTTGAGAGCGATTTTCGTGTGCAAGTTCGGTACTAGTCCCTCTAGGATTTTCCAGGTGTATATAATCATGTATCTCCCGCCTGCGTTCCAGGGAGTACAGGTTCAGGAACTTCAAGCGCTCCCAGTAATTGAGGTGTTTTATCTCCGTTATGCGCGCCGTGAAGGTTCTCTGTACATTGTCTAGGTCAGCAATTTCTCCTGCCTTGAAAGGTGCTGTTAGTGTGCAGCAATATTCCAGCTTAGATAGAACAAGCGACCTGAAGAGTGTCATCATGGGCTTGGCCTCCCTAGTTTTGAAGGTTCTCATTATCCACCCTGTCATTTTTCTAGCAGATGCGATTGATAAAATGTTATGGTCCTTGAAGATGAGATCCTCCGACATGATCACTCCCAGGTCTTTGACGTTGGTTTTTCGCTCTATTTTGTGGAAGGAATTTTTTTTGTACTCTGATGAAGTTTTAATTTCCTCATGTTTACCATATCGGAGTAATTGAAATTTCTCATCGTTGAACTTCATATTGTTTTCTGCAGCCCACTGAAAGATTTGGTTGATGTCTGCCTGGAGCCTTGCAGCGTCTGCAATGGAAGACAGTCGTGCAGATTTGGGTGTCATCTGTAAAGGAAGACACTGTGCAGTGGCTGACACCCTTGTCTGTGTCAGATATGAGGATGAGAAACAAGATGGGAGCGAGTACTGTGCCTTGTGGAACAGAGCCTTTCACTGTAGCCGCCTCAGACTTTACTCTGTTGACTATTACTCTTTGTGTTCTGTTTGTGAGGAAATTATAGATCCATCTACCAACTTTTCCTGTTATTCCTTTAGCACGCATTTTGTGCGCTATTACGCCATGGTCACACTTGTCGAAGGTTTTTGCAGTGTATATATTACATCTGCATTCTTTTTGCATCTAGGACC